ATTTATCTCATTTAAGAGAAAACACGTCCATTAATTAACGGTTAAAACCGTTAGTGGACCTATTGACAAATATACCCAAGTTGGCATTTTTAATAGGCATTAAATGGACCAACTTGGGTATATTTGTCAATAGGTCCACTAACGGTTTTAACCGTTAATTAATGGACGTGTTTTCTCTTAAATGAGATAAATGTTTGACAAATATTACGCCAAAAATGGTAGAGGGTGAATGAGAAATTGATTCTCAGAGTTAACCCGTTAATAAAAGAATATGGTAAGGATTGCAATTTTTTGCAATTTTACTGAATAAATCTTCTTTTATTAATTTTACGTATTGTTTAAAATTAGTCCATTTTTACGGAGTTAACTGGCCATTAATCTCCAATTATTCAGGGACAAATTTTAAACGGAGCGTAGCGTAACGGACGTGTTAATGGCTAATTAATCACCATTAACATGGTATTAAGTGTGCCACAAATGCCATGGATTAATGGTGTAGGAGATACATTTTTTAATTGGCTTGGTTATAAAATCAAAGGCTCTCTCCATTCTCTTTAGTGGTGGTTGTTTCATACGTGAGGAAGGAAAAAGAAAGGAAAAGTACTTCCTTGTTTTTTTTAGAGAAAGCTCTTGATTTTCCGACCAAATTTTCCGGCCATCTCCCTTAAAGTTTTTGGTCGTCAACGTTCCTATGTTGTTCTTGTTCGTTGGTGTGTGGTTGGTCCGTACAATCTCCACACACGATAGCAGTTTTATCCTGGGAGGAGAGTCCCCACGTTTTTCCGGTACGGTAGGCGGGCACTACTACCTTAAGGACAGCTCCGGCGACTCCGCTGTCCTTCACGGTGTTTTATTTTACAGGTTTACTTCACAAAGACCTCGCTGCGTTCTGCCCTAGGACATAATGTCCTTGCTGTCTAGTGCGTAATGTCCTCGCTGTCCAGTGCATAATGTCCTCGTACAACAAGGCTGCTTGAAGATATTGACATTTATTTTCAATTCTGTTTATCTTGTAATATTCTGAATAAGTTATAAATTCAGAATTTTATTTATTTTTATTTTCCGGGTCCGTTCGTCTTCCCCGTCCGTTGTAATCCGTACAAAAATTGTAACAATCTTAAGGTAGTAGCCATATCCGTGCGCAATGGCGGGTATGGACGGATTCGGTTTTGACGCTCACACCGGAAACACGAGTAGTTCCGAGACTCCAGTTGTGAACGTTTCGGCTAGATTGGGTGGCTCTGTAGGGCAGACCACTCTGATCAACATTCCTTTAGGATCGAGTGCGGCCATGGGGTCTACTCCGATCACCACCTTCGTTGGATCGAGCGCGACTATGGGGTCCGCTCCGGTCACCTCGGTTATTGGACCAACCGCGGCTACGGCCGCAATGGTCACCCCACTCGGACCGAATATGGCTTCGGCCATACCGGTCATTCCCTCACTTGGACCGAAAACGGGTGTCTTCACATCCGCACCGGTCGGACATCCTACTGTCATGCTGCCTGCGAACTCTGTCAAAGAACCGACAAAGTTCACAGGTGTTGGCTTTAAAAGATGGCAGCAAAGGATGTTATTTTGGCTGACCACCCTCAACCTTGCGAGGTACTTGAGGGAGGATCCCCCTGTTGTGGGGTAGAACGCAGACGAGCCAACACTTTAGGCGAATGTGGTGGAGCATCCACCCAAAGAGGGTTCTTCCAAAGGGCCTATGCCAAAAAAGGACAAGAAGAAAATTGGTCCTAAAGGAGGCTATTTTATCTAGCAATTATTGTTTAAATAAAATACCCCAAAAGAAACTCGTTAAGACTCCTTATGAGTTGTGGTATAATAGGAAACCTTCCTATAAATACCTGAAAGTGTGGGGGTGCCTTGCAAAAGTTTTAGCACCACCACCAACAAAAATAAAGATTGTTCCAAAGACCGTTGATGGAATCTTTATTGGCTAGAGTGGTAGCGCGTATCGATTCTTAGTGTATAGGTCTGATGATTCAGAAATACATAAGAACACGTGCAAAGAGTAACATGTATAATGGTAAGTCTAGACATATTCGTCGTAGACACAAAACCATTAGACAACTGGATTATTACAATTGACTATGTGAAGTCAAAAGATAATCTGGCGGATCCGCTAACCAAACGGTTAACAAATGAGTTGCATGAGAAGTTGGAGGCAGGAATGGGTTTGAAGCCCTTGTGCTAGGACAGTCCTATGAAGGAAAACCCAACCTGGCTGGTACCCAAGTTCAATGGGACAACCTACTTGTAGGATAAAGCAGTGTCACTGTGGGGGCGGTACCGGAACCTTCGGTCAGTCCCTTCTATTCCTGCTGAAGACAGTGATTCCCGAAAATGATGAGGTTAGCATATAAATATGCTTTAATGGTTCTTAACCAATAGGCACGGTGGTCTAAGGGGAGTAATCGGGATACTCCTAAAGAATCACCTATGTAAGAGTGAAGTGTGGTCGCTTCAAACAGAGGATCCTGGGCTTAATCCTCTAAACACTCTCGCAGAACCAGGCGCGTGTCCCACGACCAAAATGGGCACAACCATGAGAACAGAACGACGTTTGGTTGGAATCTGTGTATTGTATATTATCGTTTACACAAGCGGCAGTACAGTTCAAAGACATCGCGTTCTACTGAACAGCCAGTAAAGAAGGTATACTTTACAAGGGACATGTTCAAAAGTGGAGACACTTACATGTTCTGTGCAGGTTTTCAACCGTGGGATGTTGTCGACCCCCAAATCAATTTTTCATTCATGTGGGGGATTGTTGGAATTTTTGGCATTTTTAATAGGCATTAAATGGACCAACTTGGATATATTTGTCAATAGGTCCACTAACGGTTTTAACCGTTAATTAATGGACGTGTTTTCTATTAAATGAGATAAATGTTTGACAAATATTACGCCAAAAATGGTAGAGGGTGAATGAGAAATTGATTCTCAGAGTTAACCCGTTAATAAAAGAATATGGTAAGGATTGCAATTTTTTGCAATTTTACTGAACCAATCTTCTTTTATTAATTTTACGTATTGTTTAAAATTAGTCCATTTTTACGGAGTTAACTGGCCATTAACCTCCAATTATTCAGGGACAAATTTTAAACGGAGCGTAGCGTAACGGACGTGTTAATGGCTAATTAATCACCATTAACATAGTACTTCCTCCGTCCCACTATATTTGTCCACTTTCATTTTTGCACACTATCCAATACACTTCTTTAATCCATTTTATCTTGTAATTTGTATATTAAAAAATTATAGAAATTATATATTAATAATCTATATGTTAAGACAAATCAAACAAAATCACACATGACTATATTTAGGCTTACACATTGAGAGAATTTGATGAGTCAAAGTGCTTAGATGAACAGTTCTAAAAGTCAAATGTGGACAAACAAAGCGGGACGGAGGGAGTATTAAGTGTGCCACAAATGCCATGGATTAATGGTGTAGGAGTTACATTTTTTAATTGGCTTGGTTATAAAATCAAAGGCTCTCTCCATTCTCTTGAGTGGTGGTTGTTTCATACGTGAGGAAGGAAAAAGAAAGGAAAAGTACTTCCTTGTTTTTTTTAGAGAAAGCTCTTGATTTTCCGGCCATCTCCCTTAAAGTTTTTGGTCGTCAACGTTCCTACGTTGTTCTTGTTTGTTGGTGTGTGGTTGGTCCGTACAATCTCCACACACGATAGCAGTTTTATCCTGGGAGGAGACTGCCCACGTTTTTCCGGTACGGTAGGCGGGCACTATTACCTTAAGGACAGCTCCGGCGACTCCGCTGTCCTTCACAGTGTTTTATTTTGCAGGTTTACTTCATAAAGACCTCGCTGCATTCTGCCCTAGGACATAATGTCCTTGCTGTCTAGTGCGTAATGTCCTCGCTGTCCAGTGCGTAATGTCCTCGTACAACAAGGCTGCTTGAAGATATTGAAATTTATTTTCAATTCTGTTTATCTTGTAATATTCTGAATAAGTTATAAATTCAGAATTTTATTTATTTTTATTTTCCGGGTCCGTTCGTCTTCCCCGTCCGTTGTAATCCGTACAAAAATTGTAACAGTACCTCCTACCGTTGGCACGGTACCAAGGTACCGTTAGCCAGTACCGAGGTACCGTGAAGGGTACTGTCTGATCTGATAATTTTCTAGAAAATCCGATTTTTGAACAATTAAATCCTGCTTTTGACACCAATCAATTATGATAAGTATGAATATGATTTCTAAAAATAAAAATGATGTTTTTACAGATTCAAAAGCTTTGTTTGATGCATGCCAGTAAGCTAGGGTGTTAACACTCGACGCTAGGCCACTATTTGTTATTAAATGTTATGATGACTATTATGATCAAACCTTGGTAATATTCTGAATAAATGATTATTATAATAGATAAAGCTTAATGGAACATCATTGATAATAAATATTGGTTATGACGATCAAATGGACGACCCGAGCGTTTATGACTACATAACGATAATGATTTTATTCTGATAAAATAATTAAGTATGAAAATGAACGAATGAACCGTAAGGATGAAATCGTAGATAGATATGTTTGTTTGACTATCTTGAATTAAATGATGATGATTATGAATTAATGAAGTATGATTCAAAATGAATAAGTAGATAAACAAGAAAAATGATGTGTATTGTTAAGGATATCTAAAAGAACTCTAAGATATATCCATTTAAGATAATTGATGTTAAGGCTATCTAGAAGACCTCTAGAATAGAACTCGTATTAGAATGGACTTACGAAAACATGAATATTTGATGAATTAGATAAAAACACATAAACGGGATTCGTAGACCAAACTAGAGGATCACTCGTTTGGGAATGCCCCGATCCGACGTCGATCAGTTGCTATATTGTTGTTGCCTTAACTAACTACAGTTAAGAGTCCGAAATCAATTGCCTTAAACTAATGATAGTTTAAGTCTCTGATTATTAATTGCCTTTTTAAGAGTCTGGTTAATGGCCTTAAACTAGCCATAGTTTAAGACTCTGGTTATGAAAATTATGATCTGGCGTTAGACTAAGAATACCTAAGAGCGTTATTATTATTTGGCCTTAGATTAAGAATAATTTAAGAGCACTGTCGAAATAATATCTAAATTGAATAAAATGTGTTGATATGAATTGAACAATGGCAAAATTATGAATGTCTGAAATGAACATTGTGTGCATGATATCAAATGATTTGATTATGAATTTAGATTCAATTTATATGGATGTTCGACGCATTAGATATGCTTAATCAGCTTTACCGTTGAGCGTGTAGTATGTTTTATTTGCTACACACAGGTAAACAGAAAGAACAATGTAATCCTGGCGGCAGATGGGGCGAGATTGTTGGGATGGATGTGACAAGTTTGAAATGATTAAATTCGCTTCCGCAATATTTTTGAATATTACGTACTATATATGTTATGAAAAATATTATTGTGATAAATGAAGTGTGTTTGAAAAGTTTTAAATTTTTATGATTACCAAGTTAAATACTTTAGTCCAAAAGGGGCTGCAGAGCTGGACGGATTAGGGTGTTACATAACATGTGGTATGACATGTGTCAATAAGGAACACACGTGGCATGGCACGTGTCACATGAAGCATATGTGGCATGACACGTGTCATCACCACAATTAAAACGCTCAACTTTATATATATACTAGTATTTTTACCCGTACGACGCACGGGGTCGAACAAAATTTTTTTCGATTAAATTTTTTTTCAATGTAATATATTTTCCGGAATCAAATAAAATACATTTCTAACACGATTTTTAATCAATGAACAACGACAAAGTAGAATAAATAATATTTGAGGAACTGGAAGTGTACTCGAAATTTTTTTTTAATTCCAAATTTTTTGAAAGACTTTAGGGTACACAACATTTTTGGTATGGTTGTAAGGATTTCCATTATCATCTAGAACCAATATTTTTTATTATGTCTTTGCCTTCACTCGTGAAAAAGTAACATAAAGCTAACCATTAGTAAATACTGAATTTGTTAAAAATAATACAACAAAAGACAATGTTTTACCTAGACTTTTGTTAATAGTGATAACAAAATATAATAATATTAAGAATTGTCTTCTCTAAAATTTCAAGGGCAGTCCTGAGTCAAATGACACCAAATTCATTCGGGGTATACAAATCTTTTTCCCAACTGATTTCCCAAAACATCAATTGCAGTGATAATGTTCTTTCTCAACATCTCAACAATTAATCTTCTACCATTACACAATCTAGATATTTGGTCAATGTTCTTTAATGACATAATCGGTACCCCATTTTTAAAAATTATTTTGTGGTTTAGGATCCCGGAACATTTGATTTTATTAAAAAAACTGACGTGTTATCCAATTGTTAACTTTGCATGAAGAATCAAAAATTAAGTTTTCTTTTTCACCTCATAGAATAAGGGATAGGACAAATTCATTTACCATTCAACAAACTCGAGCGTGAGTAATAATACTCCACTATCCTTAAAAAATAATTTTTCATGTTCTCTAGTAGGTTTGGATAAGTGAATTCCATTGTTCTCTCGAGGGGATAACTTATTTCAAGAATCAAGAATTCAAGCGGGATTTCAACGTCAGCAATTCCATTGATCACTTGTCTAAATTTTCCATCTTCGACTTTGATTATCAAATCAGAAAAAACTTCTATGTCACTATCCGTGCAAGAGAGTGTAGATTAATGCAATCTCATATTTTTTGTCAACGTATAAATTTTACAATATTACAACCACATTTGTGAGGAATTGGTGGTAGCACCTACAATTTCCACTCTAAAAACTATGAGTAAAACTGAAAGAATTTGGATAAAATCACCTTTGAGTACAATTGTTTTTCCTCCGAATGGTTAATTTATGAAGTTATTATTAGATATACTCATTACATCTCTCATTGTGCAATTCAACGTCTCAAAAGAAAAATATGTTCATCGTAGATGATAAATCCCGTATGATTATACTTGTTGGATTGGGTCTGCTTTCGGGCTCCCTTGTTTGATGGCATACAATGAGCACTCAGTTGGCACCAAAGGGATTAAAAATCTCGAGTATCCTTCCTTAGGAAGAATCGATGCTACAATGTAGTTGGATGTGACATTCAGAACAACATTACCGTTTGACCTCAGAAAAGCAGATAATGATTTCTAGAGAAATATTTTTCCAGTTCAACCGTAACCATGCACAAAAAAGAACTCTCTCTTTCAGCTATCACGACTTCCATTATTTCAATAGATATATTCCATTGATATTCATTCATCATAGATAAATATCATCTAAGATCAAATGACAACTTTTCATTGTCATAGTTTAACTCCTCTACCAAGAAATTATTTTGATATCTATTAAGTTGAGTGTCATCTCCAAATGGCATGCCACTGAATTACTTTAAAGACCGCCCATTCCAAATAAGAAACTCTTCAATCTCAATTAGACATAAATTCTTTAGGTCTTCTCGATGTTGAAACACGGCCTTGTCACGTTTTTGTACTAAAGCCGCGTTCGTTTCTGTAACAGGTTTTGATAATGCCAAACCGCCGTGATCAAGACAAACATTGAGTATACAAGGCGAAGAACGAAGATAAAGAACGAGAGCTAAAAGAGACCAAGAACGAAGACCGAAGTCCTTAGCTTTGTTGAGTCGGTCATAATTGTAATCAAGACCGACCCAACCCTCACGCATTGGCTCTTTAGGCTAAAACCTTTCATTGCATTTCCTAAATCATAAAAATGTTTTTCAAACTTGTTTAAGTCATTAAAAACACTTGGTGTTCGCCCAAACCAAAAACCAAGCCATCCGGCGTTCGGGTTTCAGAAACCGGCGTTCGGCTCTCGGTTATCGGCATTGGTTTTTGGCGTCCGAACCAACCAAGTGGTTTTCAACCTTTTATGATTGGTTTTCACTCTTTGGCATGTTTAAACGGTTCTCCAACAAAAACACCTTGAAAACCATCTTTCGCTTTTGGTCGTTTGACAAAAATCATTCAAAACGGCATAAACTTGGCTAGCCGTGGTTTTCACTCAAATGACGTGGTTTTTTAAAGTGTCTTACTTGATTTCTTAGCCAAATACATCAAATAAGTGTTCTAAACACTTGGTTTTTATTTTGGAGAACTTTGAATTTTTCGGTCGGTTTTTGCACCGGTTGGCTAGG